ATTCGAACCCGCCATCTTGGGTGTACATGGCTGGCGCCTTAGCCACTTGAGCCACAGGCAGTGAGCCCCTTTCTTCTGACTGTAACTGGCCCCAGGCATACAGGAAATGCAAAATGTCTCTGCCTTCCTTCTCTCCTTCCAGGTTGGAGAACAGTTCATCATAAAGCTTTCTCATCCAGCCTTCCATAATGAAATGCAGTGCCAAAACGGTGCTCCAGGCAATAGACTGAGAGAAATAGTCTAGCTGGAAAAAAGAGCTTCTCCATCTTTAACCAGCTCACATTAATTTAATGTAATTTTATGAATGCCTCTAAGTTAGAACAGAATGTTTCTATATAAAATAACATCGTTCATCGCTTCTTCATTATGCTCAAAGTACTTTTACATACATTTGGGTCTTGTGAAGGAGGTAGGTGAGAAATTAATATCCTTACTTTATGGAAGAGGAAACTGAGGCTGGGTCGATCTGGGCACAGGTCCCATGGAAAACAGCAACACCGAGGCTAGACACTGTGCCCTTCCGATTACTCAGAGATTCAACGGCTCCCGCAAATACGAGGTAAATTGTTCAGCAACAGAGCTTCAACTTTCTAGTCCATTCAGTATATTCAGTAGAAGAACAGGAGGCAACACCTTGATCTCGGAGTTCCATCCTCCAGACTGTGAGAAAATAAACTTCTGTTGTTGAAGCCCCGGCCTGTGGTCATTTGTTATGGTGTCTTAAGCAAACAGACATACTCATTGCTTTTCCTGATTACACAAAGAACACAAACTCAGTTAAAAATCAAATAGGGCTCCTCCCTGCACAGTGGTTACAGTGCCAGCCACAGACACCAAGTTAGGCAGGTTTTAACCCAGCCCAGCCCAGCTAAACAACAATGACAACTGCAACCAAAAAATAGCTGGGCATTGTCTCAGGCACCTGTAGTCCCAGCTACTTGGGTAACTGAGGCAAGAGAATTGCTTAAGCCCAAGAATTTGAAGTTGCCGTGAGCTGTGACACTACAGCACTCTACTGAGGGCAGCATAGTGAGTCTCAAAAAAGTAAATAAATA